CCTGGGGGCCCGAAGGGAGGTATCGCCAGCGGGATGTGTGTGGGGACGGGTGTGAGCAGCCCCTGGACTCCCAGCGGGCTCCTGGTCGCTTGGGCTTCCCTCAGCTTCTGCCCCGAGGGCCTGTGGCTCCCTGCAGTGTCTCCCTGTTCTGTGTTTTGTGGAGTTGGGAGACTTTATGAGTAAAATTAACGTGCATTTATATTAAACTCTGCAATTTTCTCCTTCATTCTTTTGTAACTTTTATTTTTTCCAGCTGTTTTCATCTCAAATTCATCACATCGCAGTTAGGAAAGTTTGTGTCTTGTTCATGAGGCAACACCAGCATAAGTTTGACTCTGTAAGTAATGTGCGAGGCAGCTTTGCACGCGTAGTTAGGAGGTAAGGTGGGAGGGGGTGGGTGGTTTAGCCATAAACACATCCCCTGAAAGCATGCCATGATTTGCCAGGCTTGGTGCACTAAGAGGAGATAAATGGTAGGGTGATGGCTTACTTACCTTATTGGAGTTGCAATCACACAAGTTTTATTTGACTTTGTATTTCTGAAATTCCTGAAATATACATATTCTCTGTGGAGCAACTATTGCCGAACTTAGTAGGTAGGAAATACGTGGAGTTTTGGATAAGAAATGAACATTAAAAGATGGTGAAGAAGTCCACAGTGTGTTTAATCGTTGCATAAAGTCTTGGTTGGTTGGTTTTGTGTGTGGTGGGTTGTGTGGGCGAGGTGTGGTTTTGTGTAGCATTTCGTGTGGCATTGGGATGTTTGCGGGGGGAGGGGGGTGTGTTTGGGTTTATTTGGTGTGTTTTTTGGTAGTCTCCCCCCACCTCACCCCTCCCTTCCCCCCGTAATTACAGTTAAGTGTTTAACCTAATCTAGGAGGGAGGTGAGTAACTGAGTATTGCTTAGTCTCATGCTCTTAATTTTTTTATGATCTCTTGGTATTTCCACATTGGTACCCCAAATCATTCCCATGCTCTAAGGCAGGGAAGGGCTGAAGTCTACCTCCAGTCAGACCACAGCCCTTCAGAACCCAAAAAGGATAGGAATTGGCAGACTAGTCCCAAATTTGGTGTCTGTCCCCCAGCTCCTGCCCTGCCTCCTCCCATTCAGCAGGTAGTAATGTATGGTATAGTGTGCAAGTTTAACTTTGCTTTCCAACTGGCTAAGTTTTTCTTCTTTGTTTTGCTGAAAGTATGTGGAAGGATCATTTGAGAAATACCTTGAACGAATAGGAGATCCAAAGGTAAGACTGATCTGATACTTCTCAAGAGGTTAAAATTTGAGGAGACTAGAACAAGAAAGTAATTAAGTGATGTTTTAAAAGTGTGGTGGATTGGGTTTTTTTAGCTAGACTCCAATCCTGGGACCTCATTTGCAGAGGTAATATTATGGGTTTGTATTGAATATTCACATGTATTAAGCAATATCAGTTTTAGTGGGCAACTTGTGTTGGTGCAAAGGAGCAATCTGTGCAGACTGGACAGTAAAGCTGAGGACTCTTGTGGGCCTAATTCATAATTGCAATTCTTCTTTAAGAAGGAGAAAGCAAAATATTTGTAGTGTACCTCACAGCAAATGTTTATCAGGCTTTGTAATCCATTGCTTCTTCCTTTACCCCCACGTTTGAATATTAAAGTTCAAACTTATATTTCTTTAGACTTTAACCAATAAATGTGGTAAATGCAGCAGTCCTGAAACAAGTGTAGTGTTTTTAATTAAAAAGAAAGTGTCTTGAGTGATGTGTTTAAGAGTTGCTGCAGAACTAGTGCCATCTTACTCCACTTGGTAATCACAGCCATCCCATGTTGCAGACTTTTTTCTTCTTCCCCCTGGACATCCTAATAGCTCAACTCTGAATGCATTGATTGTTTAACAAAGTGATGGGTTTGGTTAGGAGCTGGAATAGAGTTTTCCGTATTGGACATGTCTCTGCTATCTCATATGATCTCATAATCTTGCTTAGGAAAGTGCTGGCCAGCTGGAGATGAGCGCTTTATCAGTGATGTACAAGTAAGTGTCTCCTTAAGTTTCACTTTGGGCTTGATGGTGTTTGGGTTCTGGCCTCAGAACCTTTTATTTGTTTGTCACTGAGGTACTAATGTGTGAAACGTGGTGAGAACTGCTACCCTAATTAAACTAACATGCAAATGGGTGCTGTCACAGCCCTTGTTATAATTCTGTGGGTTAAGGGGAGGGTCACTTTCCAGCAATGTTTATTTGTTATCTTTTTGCTAATGTTAAACTCTGAAGTCAAGTGTTTCCTTCTAGTGGCTGAAGGATGGAAAACCGGGAAAAAAACAAGGAGCTGTGTGTAGTGGAAACACTGTCTGGTGGTTATGAGCATGAATAAAACTCATGTAGGTGTTCTTGAAAGCTCCAGTAGTGAGGAGTACTTGCCCTACTTGGTGTGTAAACCCAGATATTTACTGCAAAGGTAACATGAGCCCGTGCAGGTGCTGCTGTCTTGCTAAAAATGTTGCTATCCTGTAACAAGCAGTCCGGCTCTCCTGCGGTAATCGGAAGAACCCTCCCTTTGGAGGCTCGTAGTGTTCCAGTACTAAAGGAACGAACTGACGTTCTACAAGAGTTCCTAGTTCCCCATACTGTGGCTCTAATCCTTTTGCAGGGTGACTAAATCACTTAATGTCTCTGTGCCTGAGCACCTTGCCATAAGCATACATACTTGACATAATCTGTGAACAAATATAATGGTCTTTCCCAGATAATTTTTTTTTCCTAATTTTTTTCTCCTAAGATGGGGGGTGGTGTTTGTTCATCTAGCTCTTGCTGTATGGTAGCATTCATTTATCAGGAAAAGTATTCTACTTGATTTTTCTATGAATCAATACCAGATTCTCTTAAACAGCTCCCTGCAAACTTCTTCATAATGTAGTTCTACTAAAAGTGTGCTCTTTCAAGTCTTGTTTTTTCTCTGCTTACCTAGGCGAGACTTTATTCTATACCGGTACCCTGGAAAGCCACCTGCTTATGCTACAGATAATGGCTTTGAAGACAAGGTGAGGAGAAGTGAGGCAATTTCCTACCCCTGCACCTGAATCCTAGTTATCTCCAGTCCTGCTTAGTTGTGAAAACTTGCCACTGGAATTGAGCTCTTTAATTCCAGTGCTCTTGCATACCTGAACAAAACCCCAAAGCTGACTTCAGCTCATGGAAAAAAGCCCTGTATTTGCACAGCAGTTAATTAAATTTTAGTAGCTTTGCTTCCCATCTGAGGTATGGATTGTGTGCTGTCCCCCTGCCAGTCTTTTTTGTTACTCTAGGTCATTACTGGAAAGAAGTTCAATTTTGGCAGGAAGAGGTAGAATCACAATTCCAGAATATTCTTTCATGTTTATGAAATATCTTTGGGTAAAAATGCTTCCTAGTGGGAATTTGACTGATCTGACAGGGTAGGATGAAATATCTGGATTGAATTGAAGAGCAGAACAAAATACATGTATCATATTGTGAAGAGAAGGTGTTCTCCCCCAATCCCAGTACCTCTTTTCCTGAAGTCAGATGAGGTGTGCAGTTATTCTTCCTGAAAAGGGGAAGTTGATGGGAATGGATTAATCTAACAAACTGATTAATTTCTATGACATACAAATTGAGCCCAGTTAAGAGTGGGAGCTAATGGAACAGCTTAACTACACAAGAACTAGTGCTAGGGGCAAAAAGGAGCAACATAAAGGAGGAATACTCTGTTACCTCACCTCTGACCCTGCTTGTTTTTTTCTGCAGTCGTGTAGATGTGCCTACACAATTATGTGGATAGCTCAGACATGATGCCAGTGAAGTTGCTGCGGTATGGATTTCAGTGTGGGCTATTATATTTGCCAAAGTGGCTAGTCTGCTCTGAAATCTGTGCTGCTCCAGCTGTTCTTCCCTGGTGGTTAGTATGACTGTCTTTGTTTACATGCACTTCTTTCTTTTTCTGTGTCGTTCCGTGTGTTGCTTAATCTAATTCCAAAATGAGCGAACTTCAAAAATCAAGCAGTACGGTCTAAATGTGTGTTTGTCCGTGAAGGCTTTGCCACCAGAGCTCTCATTAAGTGTTGGCAGCTGTCTGTCATTAGTCTGCATGTACAGGCAGCAGCTCTTTCTGGTGTTGCTTATGCTTGCCATGAGATGGGAGCTTGTCTTGGCAGAAGATGTAGTGCGGGCTGAACAGAGAGCCCTGGCATCCCAGCTGCTGCTGGTTCACTGTGAAGCATCCTCACTGGCAACCTGATGACAGCTGCCTAAGGGCTTCTGCCAGTTGCAGTTGGCTGCAGTCTCATGGCAAGATGGGGTTTGATGGTATATCTTTACTCGGTGTATCAATGTGTATGTTGCAGAAAGCATGCATCTTTTCAGAAGGCAGCAGAATATGGCTTATTAAAAGCAAGGCTTTGTTGGGGGCTAGAGTAGTAGGTGCTCTTCTAGTCCCTCAGGCAGGGAAGGGTGAAATGTGCCTGTGGTATTTGGACAGTGTATCTCAGGGGTACTGCTTTTAATGGCTTGTGTTTATTTTACCTCTTGAGGAATTGGTGGTTTCAGAGGTAAGCTGGAAATAAAGACTTGTTTCATGTTTAATACAGTATGATGTACAAATTGACACTTTTCTGCGTATAATGGACAAACTTATTTAGAGACTTTAGGATTCAGTTTCAAGCTGATTCTACAGCATTTTCATGTTTATATTGAGAATATTTTTTGTTTGAGTGGTGTTGACTGTAGAGTGAAAGAATAATGTGGTCTTGAGCTAAGATATCAAATAGAAAGAGTTAGGTTGTACATCATTCCAGCCTTAAAGCCTTTTTTTCTTAATTTTCCCAGATTTTACTGTGTTGTTCCGGCAACTGCCATTATGACTCCGTGTATACAAAGCAATTCCAGGAAAATGCTGCTGTTTGCCAGGGTAAACTGGAAATAATTTTTCTGTGAAAGAAAATTATGTATTTTCATGTGTTTATAGGCAGTGTTTGGTTTGGTTTTCAGGGGTGGGAGGAGAGAAATGGAAGCTCATTTGTTTTATATGAATATATACACACACTCATTATTCTATCTATTAAGTGGGGTATTGGACAAAATGAAGTCCCTTCTTCCCACCTGCATTATTTTATGATCATTTCCTTAAATGAATTTATTATAACAAGTGCCTTGTAACAGTAGATGATACTGAAGATATGCTTACCTTGAAAATTGCAGCAGTTCTTACGGATCTGGTATTATCTTAATTTGGTTTGAGCTTTGTGTTGATTTGTTCAGCTGTATTATATGAGATCCTGTACAAAGATGTGTTTGGCATGGATGAGGAAGAATTAAGGTCTGCGGTTGAGGTATTTCGAAGTGGATCCAAGAAGAACAGAAACAGTGGCTCTATAGGAAGTGAGGATGCAAACTTTGATTGTCTTCATGAAAAAGTATCCAGAAATCCACCAGAAAAGAGGTAGTATTTTGGGAAGGGGATGTGGTAAAAGGGAAGATAAAAAAAACCCAAAAAACCAAAACCTTGCAAAGGGCAACTTTTTTCCAGGTTTCTTTGAATGTTCATGTGGTATTAACTACTTTTCCAATGCCATGGCATCAGTACAATGCAGTATATTGTGGAAGAGGGTGTACTTTCCTTGGAGCTGGGAAGTGTCATGTAATTGAACATCCTCTGCTGTTGGCTATGTTATGGTTGTGTGTTCCTCTGTAAAATTACAGCTTATTTGTAAATAAAATTGTTCCTTATGCATGTTTAGTGAGAAACCGTAATTACTCTTTTAAACCTTTATAACTTGAGGCAATAGTGTATTGAGAAAATGAGCTCTGCTTTTTTTTTTCTTGTTTGTTCTTTTTTAATGGCATCGTACCCCAAATAGACCAATAAATGGTGGCATTATTCAAGTCTGTTGGATCACTGGGGATGAGGGGAACAGACAGAATGTACCTATAGAAACCCTCATGTCCTGTGTTGTTCAAGTCACTAGAAATGCTTGAGTGATGCCTCTGACCGTTCCTGAATGCTTGCAGGTGACATGGGTTTGGTAGGAATTAGAACAGAGTGCTTGTTGTACTTGACAGTGCAAGAGTTTCATCGGTCAGTGGGATCTTCATCCTTTCCTAGTTCAAGTGGTAGCCCTTGTTTCGGGGGTGGGTGTTGGAACAAGTGAAGGTCATGTTCTTGAAGCTAGGAGAAGGGCTGTCCTGTACTTCCATCACAGTCATGGCTTGTCTTTAAGGCAAAACCTACCACTTGGTGGCACCATGGTGCTTTTCCAGATTGTATGAACAGTTGGTTGATTTTAATCCTGGTTAGAAATTGTGCATTCTGTCTTTTGTAATATTATTTTCAATTACTTAGAGTGGACAACTGGGAAGGCAATGATACTGGCAATCCACAGGAAGATAAGTTCAAACAAGGCATTGGAGAAGAAAAGGTTTGTCAGTTAGGGAAGAATTCCTTACGGTGTTGGTTTTGTTGTTTTATGATGTTACCCTTGTTAGGGCTAAACCTTCTTTTCTGCTTTTTAAAAAAATTACTTTTTGGAAAGTGGGTGGCTTATTTCTTCTATCTCGTTGTCTTTTTGTTTTGCCCTTGAGTTTCTGTTAAGTTGGATAAGCTTTTTTCCTTTCTGAAATTCTCTCGTTCTTCTCTAGCTAATTTTTTTTCCCTCCCAAAGATGGAGCAGATGTTTCCTGGTCTTCTGTTTGTTTTTCCCAGAAATGGTTTAAATCGGTTCACTTTTGTTTTGAACACAGTATGAATCACTTAGAACAGTTTTAGAAACTCTATAGCAACTTGTTTTCAGATATAAAAACTTAAATTCCTAACAACTTTTGAAGCCATGGCTTCATTGGTCTGGTTGGCTTCCTTCTGTGTTTGGCTTTTTTTTTTTTAACCTAAAGAATGTGCCAAATGTTACTCTTGAGCCTGTTTCTAGCCTTTCCAAAGTCTGTTTGCTCAGCTTCTGAATGCCTGAATGGGTTTTCATATTCTTGAGCTTTAGTTTTTAGGCAAATATGGTGGAAGTAAAAATTTTTGAAAATACTGTGTAGTGTGTGTACATCTTAAAATGGTCCACAGATGCTGGCAGGATAGAGACTATGCTGAACACCTTAAATGCACTTGTTAATGCTCCTTTTCAATTCTGTTTTTAGCCTCCAGAAAATCCATCAAAGATGCCTGTTCCTTATAAAGTGCTAAAGGCACTGGACCCTGAGATCTATCGAAATGTGGAGTTTGATGTTTGGCTGGACAGCAGAAAAGGTATATTTAAGAAGGGAAAAACAAACCACTCTTTCTGTACGAGGCTCAGTGTTAAATTGATGAATGAGGCCTATGTCACCTGTATTGTCACAGCTGGAATGTGAAGGATACTGGTTAACCTTGCAGATACTTGTAGGTAGTAGATCTTGGTAGGAGCTAGTTTCTTGGCTTCATTTCAAAGTAGAAATGCATGGCTTCTGACACTGTATAATGGTGATAAAGTTGCTAAAAATCTGACCTCTACTACTTACTGGCCATGGTATAGGAAGTATGAGGACACAAAGCAGAGTACAGAACTCTGTGTTACCATTCTGTTGTATTGGAAATAATTCACATTTGAGTGGTTTTTTTTGTTGCAGCATATGTGCAACAACTCCTGCTTTTTAAAGCATGATTTTGGCTTCAGAGTAGTATAATAATAAAGATCTCAAATTTAGCATTGAGATCTGTCAAATGAGATTGGTTTTCTCTTGCTTTCCAACTTTCTTGGGCTTGAATGTTCTGGAGAAACTAAATTGTCTTCATGGCTTGGGATAGGTTGGTGCTTTTTGGCACATGCTATGGCTGATCTGTAATGCAAGAAGTTACCAAGAAAGATTTGGAGTCTGACCCAAAGTGCTTTGTATACTGAAGAACTCCAGCATTTTACAACCGCATAAGCAATGAGGGTCATTAAAATTCTTGGAACAGAGTATAGTAACTGATTATCCATGTAGAGTAGTGATGTACAGAGAATCCAGGCAAGGAATGGAGAAAAACCTGCTGCAATCTAGCAGCAAGGAGACTTTAGGCAATGTTATTTTTTCCTGGATAACATGGAATTTTTGCCAGGTGCTACCAGTACTCTGGCAAGACGAGACATGTCCAACATTTTTAATTAATGAATGGTATTAAATGCAGGATTAACTTGGTGCCATCACAAAAGACACTGTAGTATGGAAGCAGTAGTGCTGCATATTGCGTTATCTGGATATTATTGATCGCCTGGTTATGGTCTGTTAGAAGAACATCTACAGTCACCTCGCCGTTGCTATGGGGAATGTTCAGATATGCATAGGAAATATTTAACTCAGTTGGCCTATAATTTGTAATTGGATGCTGTCCTGAAGTGCTTGTAGGATACATGAAGAAAGAACAGTAGTTTAAAGGCTTTTTCCTTTTTATTTATTTATTCATTTGTTTTTAGAGCTTCAAAAAACTGACTACATGGTGTTTGCTGGGAGACAGTACTATTTAGGAGACAAGTGTCAGGTTAGTACTCAAAGGAGACTCAGTTATGATAAACTATTAAAGCTGCTTTAAATGGAGTATGGTAAGCCATAAAATCCTTTGACTTTGTAGAATATTCCAAGGCTTTTCTCATTCTCTTCCTTGCTGCTATTAATCTGACTTTCTTTTTAACTTAATTTCTTTCTAAAAATCTACCTGTAAACATTGGGTAGCATGAAGGAAAAGCTGCTTGGAAATTCATTGTGAACCAGTGATACACGTTCTGTGACCATGGAAGTTCCAGACAGTTCAAAATGCGCAGGGTGTGCATTGAGGTAGTTGTCTATTAGATTTTCGCTGGAGGTCAGCAGCAAGTCTGGACAGTCTTCCACTTCTGAACAGCAATGTAGCAAATATTTTTATAAAACAGAAAGAGAAGAGCTAAAAAGGGAAGAGCAGCATGATCTGTCCAGGAGATGCTGAAAGGAAGGTCAGCTTTCTTTGTTTTCCGATGTATGTAGTGAGAGCTTATTTTTTTTTATCACTTAGAGGTAGTGCTGATGATTCACTCAGTGACTTGTTTCTAGCTCAGCAGAGCTTTCCTTTCCAATTTCCTGTTTTATCTTCTGTTCTCCTCAAGTTCTTAAATAGCGGTCTTCCTTGGTACTTATCTGCTTGGCACAGTGTATAAAAATAAGTTATAAAGCAGGTATGGTACCTCTCAGTCACTCGCAAGAGTTTTCTTTTTTTTTTCCTCCGTGAGGTTAGTACAGTGCTTTTTATTTTGCCTGCTATTTTGAAGAAGTATTAGAGGCTCCTGCGCCAGCTCAGTAATATAGGAGAAGCTAGGAGCAGCCTTTGCTATTAGTGGATTGTACACAGTATTCTAAATCCCCTTGTACAGTTTGGCTCTTTTAGAGCTTCCCTTGTTCTCTTTCCAGGTACGTCTGGAGTCTGGAGGTAAGTATTACAATGCTCATATCCAGGAGGTTGGACAGGATGGCAACACGTTGACTGTATTCGTTGAAGAGCTGGCAGAAAAGTAAGCAGTCTGGTGACAACTTCACATTTGAACTCTTTCTGGTTGAGTTTGTATATTCACAGATGCTTAAAATAGCATTGCTAAGATACTTTGAAAGGATAAGAGAACGTAAGCTTGTAAATATAAAGTGAGGTTTTGCTTAATTGTTGGCTATCGCTCTTCAAATAAAATGTTGCAGGAAACTTTTCTCTTGGATTTCTGATGACCAAAATAATTATTGCAATGCTTTCTGTGAAACCTTGCTGCTTTTTCTTCTCTTTTTTCTTCTCTGGAATGGGAAAGTGATCTTTGCAGTTTGGGCTTAATTCACGAATAGCAAATTACACTCTGCTGTTGGTTTCTCTGTTTACGTTGTAGCCAAACAACTAAATAATTGGCACTTCTGGTGAGTCTAATCACTTTCTCCACCTTGCTGTTCAAAGCATTCACCCTTTCCCAAACCTAGAATTTAGGCTGATGGCATATTGCAAAAAGTCTGTGTTGCCAAATGCTTTCATGTGTACCTCTGAAGGCGTACAATGCAGGGAAGAACGACTTGACCCAGGAAGTCAGTAGTGTTGAGGCTAAATCCTAGCTTGCCTTTTTTAATAAGCAAGTAACAGTAATGTGTGCTTGGTGTCAGAGAAACAGATATTTTTTTTTTTTATTTCCACAACCTCCCTATGCTCTCAAGTTTGTGGGTTTTTCCATTTTTTTCTTAGTGCTGATTCAGCTTATGGTGTTCTGCAGTTATGTGCGGTGTATCCTTGTGGCACGGCTAGCATCAGTGTTCTTCCTGTAGGCATACAGTTCCTTTGGCAAACCTAAAACCAGTGACACAAGTGGCACCTGTCCTTGCTTGGAATGTGATTCCCAGCCGAAAAGGAGGAACCTATCAGAAAATAACAGGTGGATACTACTCAGGAATAGGTTTGTACAAGGTTTCCACAAGTACTCCTTCCCCTGGGGCTGTGAGGGAGTAGCACTCATGACAGTTTTAAACAGTAGCAGTCCTTGGATATTGGAAGTGGTTGAATTCAGCCTGTGACATAAAACTTGGTCACTGCAGGTGTTTGATGTAAAGTGATCCTTCAGACAGAGGGAAGAGTTTGCCTTTGCAAAAGAGCAAATCCATTGAAAATACATAGCAAAGTTGGTATGGCTCAAAATTACCAGGAAGACGTTTGGCACTTGGGAACCATGTGTAAAGACTGGGTCTGTGAACCAAAAAGCCTGTCTGATTTGGTCGTAGCAGAGATGTGTGGACAGAGTAAGGCTGTGGACTGTATTTGTTTAATTTGGAGATTTACTTTTTTTTGGTAAATAAATGCAGCATTCATAGAGATTTAACACTGAAGAGTACTAGTTTGATCAGCTGAAGTTGGGAGGGTGTTCACATGTGAGATGCTTGTGTTCTGACCATAATTTAGAATGTCTGCTTGAGCCTTCAAAAGAAAGGTATGAAGTTTGCGTAGTTAAAATACCCTTTTTCTGGAACAGGCCATTGGCTCTTTCTTTTCCGTGTGTCCAAATATTGACTCTTCTCAAATTATAAAGAGAATATAGCTCTGGAGTCAGATGTTTAAGGTGTAAATCTCTTTTCTGTCCTCAACTGAAACTGCAGAAATGGATATGAAAACACGGAAGAGAATGCTTAAGAAAGTTCGTGGAAAGGAAGTGTTTATGACTGTGGCTTATAGCAGGGGTCAGCCAGTTCTTCCACCCCGGCTACAGCACAGTATTCCTTCGGGGCGCTCTCCTCCAGTTCACTGCTCACAGGGTGGTGGAAACATGGCACCTTATGAACCCTATCATCCTCAGAGACATAACCGTGGATTTGGGATGCCAAGGTATGAAGCCTTGAAAACCTGTCTGACATCAGCGCTCATTTTCTGTTCGTTCTTGCTGCAGACTAGTTAGGAGAGAGTTTGTGCTATTGAGTAGGTAAAACTACAAATGAGTTCCGTCTGAGAGGCACTTCCTGGTAATTGCACCTTTTACCCTTTAAACTTAGGGGATCTGCCCGATTTATAAACAGGCACCACATGGTTGGCCCTCAAATAGCATTCTACCCCAGTCCAGGAAAGAGATGCTATCAGAGCTATGACAATTTCTCCTGCAGGTCCTGGTAAGTGCTTATAAACCTCTTTACAAAACATTGCTCTAAAAGAGTTGGGGAGGATGGTGGTATGTGGAGAGCTGAGTTGGCTGTTAGTGGCACAATATGAAACAATGGGTTTATTGTGCCTCTCCAAAGAGAACAAAGTTAAAACTGAGCAAAAAAACCAAGGTGAAACTCCAGATAGTGGTGATTCTTAACCTTCTGTCTTGTTTTTAAAGCTCGTACAGCCGAAGCCGCCGTCAGATGCAGTGTGTGAATAAGGAATGTCAGTATGGGTTTGTTCCTGGGAACGGAGAGGAGCCTCAAGCACCAGAAGAAACTATAACTTTCTATGAAATTGAAGGAGAGGATGACACTGCTTTTCCTACTTTACCAGTAAGTTAGGAACAAGGGTATGTTAAAGGGGTGGAGCGGGGGAAGATGTACAAATGCGCAGCACTGCAGTACCTGAATATACAGCACTTTTTTTTTTCTTGGAATAAGCTTCAGCAGCAAATGTGTTCTTGAGGAGAGAAGGCTGAAATGAGTCTAGATCCTGTGAAACCTGCTCAAAACCTCAATTTTTCTAAATGTTCCCTTTCTTTCTCCTTCACCTCACCAGCAGCAGTTGTTTTCTCTAGTACATTTTTGTGAAAGTAGGGTCACATTTCTTCTTTCTCTTGCAGTTTGAAAACAAACAAACAAATCCCTTCCTACTGTGGAAGTCTGTCTAGCTGTAAATATTGTGGGAGAAAGCTTTTTTCACTTGTTTGCCACACTGTAATTTATCGTTAGAAACTGCATAGTGATAGCCTGGCTTGTTCCTATGAATTTGCAGTTGTGATGTTTTAGGCTAGCACTTTGTTCCTGAAACAGTTTCTTCTGCTGCAGAAACAGAAGAAAATTCCAAATCTAGACTGCTCTTAAAACAATCTTTCTGTCAGCTTGTAGATAAAGTGGCACAGTGTGTTCCTTAACTTTAAAATAAATCATTTTCTTTTATTTGTAGTCTAAGCCTAGTACAAAGCTGGATAAGCTACAAAAAATCAATTGGTATTTAGGTATCTGAATGGGAAAGCAAATCTTTTTAAAAAAAAAAAAAAAGCCTGGCACGTTTGAATTACTTCCTACTGTGGTGAAGCAGTGAACTTAAGAAATGTTGGACTTGTATTTAAATGAGAGAGAAGGAATCGGCTCAGGGCTGTTTCAGCAGCAGCCATTTTAAAATTTGTCCTCATGTGCTGGATCTGTAATCTTTGCTCTGATTTTCCTCCAAGAGTGTCAGGAATAAGGACAAATTACCCTGCAGTGTTTTTTTCCGACATGAAATCAACATAGCTTACTAGTTTTTCCTTTCCATTGTTAGACTATATACCTGCAGCTCCTAATGAATAGTTTTTCGTGTTCATTCATTGACTTTGTTATTGTCAATACCAAAGCCTTTTCTCTGTCTCTTCCTTGTCTTGTTTAATAAAGGAATATAACATTTCCTGGGGAAAGATGCATCTCGCAGAAAACTCTGCCATCCTACTAGAGGCCTGGTGGGAGAATCTTCTGACTTAACCACCTCTGCTTCAGCCTTGGAAATCTTACACGCCCCTCTGAGCACTCTATCGATCTCATAGTCACCATGTCTTCTGAGAAGAATTTTGGGTGTCACCTTAGCCATCACAAAAGAGTGAATCAACTTCTTTTACTTGAGCATTTCAATCCTATATTCCTGCTTCAGAGAACTCTCTATTTTAAATTGTGGTGTAGCTAAGGACTGACTTCAGTGCGAAGACAAAGGGCATGTGAAGTATTAAAGGAGTCCTGTGGGAAACCTTGATGGGTGCTGCTCTCTGAAAGAGTCAGGCTTGCATGTGTGGGTCAAGTTAGTGCAGGCAGCGGTGTCTATGCCAGCAGCCCCCATGGGTTTCACTAATTGTGACTAAAGATAACTTTTTCTATGATAATTGGAGTATTTGGATGAACTGATCTGCTGTCGGTGTGGTGGGAATGCTCCAGGATGAGGAACACAGGAGTATATGTTGGGGATAGCAGTCTTGGCTGTTGTCTGGGGTGTGCTTCCTCCTTTTCAGCTTTGAGCTGGAGATAAAGCTGGCTAAGTTCTGGGAGGGAGCAACTTGACTGTATTGCATAGAACAGTGGTGGATCTTCAAAAATGAATTACCTTAAGTATGCTAGGGCAGAACAAAAGGTAAAGGAAACAATACAAAATGTGTCTGCAGCTGTTTTGGCACAATCAGGGCGCATAAGAGCGGACACACATGGTAATTCTAGTAAGTTTTGGTTGCAGGAAGCTCGGTCGGCCAGCCTGTTTCTACTATGCATGTGTATAGAGCATGGAAAGGCTTTAAACTCTTTCTAAATACCTGCTTCTGACTTTGCTTTTTAGAGCCAGGGTACCCCTGCTCCCATTGTCCATGGTCCAGCAGGATTTTGGGTAGCAAGGAGGGGCCCAAACTCTGTTCCACCTAACAAGCAGACCCTGAATTCCTCAGAGGAGGAAGAAGAAACCAGTGAAAATGGTGAGTCGTTAAAGGATTAGCAGACAAAGAGAAAAGAGAGGTGCAGAAGATCTTCAGTGTGTGTTTGATTGTCAAAGCAGGTTCCTGACATCTCCTAAATATCTGTTTATTGTAAGCTTTGACCATGCAGGTGAGCACATTGTTTCTCTTTGTTGTCTGGTAGGAATGTGTTACTTCTGTTTAGGCTTGCTATGCCATCACCCATGTCATTCCATCAGCCTGCAGCAAGCCAAGTTACTGCATAAAAATGGATGTTGTAAATTTGGTAATGGCAACCTTGAAACTTGGTGGAATAACACAGTGAGCAGGTCTTGAGTGTTTCTCTACCTTTTCTTCTCAAAACCAGATGATAACTGGGAGGAGGTCATTAATGGATGCGCTGAAATGTAGTTGTGGTAACTTCAGTTTTAAGCCTTTTTGTTTCCTGCCCCCCGAATCAAAGCTTCCTGTTCTCTCCCTTGTAGAAAAAGAATATATCTATGCACCTCCAGGTAAGTAAAAGATAGAACACTTGGTGAATGTAATGTATTCATTGTGACTTTTATAAGTTTCTGGAAAATTAGATGCAGTGCTACTTTTTTCAGTTAATTTTGCCTATGCCCTCCAGATCCTGAAAGTTTCTGGAAAATTAGATGCAATGCTACTTTTTTCAATTAATTTTGCCTATGCCCTCCAGATCCTGACTGTGAAACTGCAGCAGTATTTAGTTCAGCAGAACCTACAGCAAACTTGGTAAGCCTTAGTCACTGTCTGGTCAGATTAGAAATCCTTGAAGTGTGTGCCGTTCTTCATAGGCACTGTCCTCGGATGCAGGCTTAACATGGTACATCAGGGACTTCTTTTGGAAGAAAGGAACGATGGTTTCATTTATATATTCGCCTCTCTTTTCGCCCCTAAGTGGTGAGGTTTTTGTCTGAGTCTGCAAGCACAGTCTGAATTGTACTAGAAACATTACTGATTTTCCATCTTTCCCTCTGTAAAGAGGAAGTGTGTATTTGAGTGCTGTTTACTTTTTTCTTCCTGCTCTAGACAGCACTTGTATTTATCATGCTACCTTTCAAGTCCTATTCCAGTTAGTCTTATTTCTCCACTGTGGGACTGGAGAGATCTTGCCTCTGATAGAACTGACTTTGGAATATTTTTTTTAATCTGAAAGTAAATCTTCAGTCACTTGTTGGTCTGTAGTGGGTGTGAAAGCCAGTCCTGTGCGTATCAGAATAAGCCTGCTTTTATTCAAGTTACAAAAGATCCTCTCTGTGTGGTGTATGTGTGTGTAGTCCATAAATAAGAACAATATAGGGGTGGGTGCAGTGTGTGTACCTTGTGACTTTTTTGCCTCTTAAATGGACCATGCTTTGCTTTGGAATCCCCTCAGGAAGAAGGGCCAGTCTCTGTGTCACCTCAAGATGGAGTGGGTTCCTACAGCTATCCCCAGAAGGTAGTATCTAGTACTTTATTGTGGTAGCCCTGTGGAGAGGTGACCGATCTGCTAGGTTAATGTCAATTTGTGGGGTCCCTCTACCTGCCTCCTACATCATCTTGTAGCAAATAATACAATTCCCTATAAACATAAGCAAAAACAGAAGCGTGAGAGGATGCCTTGCAGGTGTCTGCAACTCTAAACTGGTATTTTCAAGGCAATTTTGTAGAGAACTGGAATACTTAGCTGTCTTTACAGCTAGGACTTCCAAAATGCACTTCATTTCTGTGAAGTGAGAATTTTTGAACTATGTGATCTTTCCATAGTCTTTGTCAAAGCCAGTTGTAGAGGCAGTCTGCTGAATGCTCTGACTCTTTTCCAGGTGATGGTGAGCTCTGCAGCAGTCTCAACCTCAGCAGGTGTTTATGCTGCTCCAGCTACAGGCTTCTCCTCAAATTCTGCTGCCTCCACTCCAGCCAGTGTCACAACAGCAGATCCCCCCAGTTCAGCCAGTCATAGTATCTCCCCTTTCTATAGGGAGGCCAGGTAGAGTGTAAACTATGGCTGTGGACTTGGACGTCTAAGTTTTTGGTTACGTCTTCACCTCTCTTCCCCCCCCACCCCCCATCCAAGACAAATGTTAAAAAGCTATTTTAAAAAAAAAAAAAAAAAAGGCCTGACTTGCTTTGACTTAAAATGACTTGACAGTAGTTGTAACTTCACTGCTTACTTCTTGCTTTCATGTTTGGAAGGAGACAGGTGACCCTGAATGTGCATGGGAATGGGAGGTTTCTGCTTTGGTTTCCAAATAATTTTTGTGGCCCTTGGTTAGCTCCTGTGCTTAGTTATTTCTGTGCAAGGAGATCAAATTTGTGATCTGTCACATGGTGCACTTAACAAAGTGGATACAGCATTTCGGGTGTTCTTGTGAAATGTCTGTTAAGAAAAAAAGGTTTTTCCCTTCTTCATAAAGAGAGCTTTTAATATCTTCTGTGTTAGAGGTGTGGGCCACCTAAAGAATATTAACAGTAGTCTGTCTGGAATATTTTTGTCCTGACATGTCTTGAACCTTCCCCTGTTTTTGTGGGCTTATTGTCACACTTCTGATGCCTGAAAGTGATGAGTGTGTTCCCTGTTGTTCTAGGACAGCCAGTTATGTAAGGCAAGTCTGGCCAGCCTTCTAGGATGGAGAAATGATTGAAAAAGACGTTTATTCTTAACTGGAATACGGTTAAGGCTTGTGAGATTAAACCAGATGGGAATGTTACGAAGCTTCTTCAGGGCTTCTTTGAAAGCGATGACTAAAGAGATCTATGCTGAAGCTGGTATTTAGGGGTGCTGAGATGACAAAGAAGTGCATGCTTAATTGTGTAACCGAGCACGTTGCTCCTTTGACATGCCATTGCAAATTTGACTTGACTCTTGTCTCCTTCTAATTGTAGCAGTTTCCTCTTCGGTGCCGTTCCCAATGTATTCAGCTCCTCTTCCTCCAATCAGTGAGGTGGGAGAAGCTGGTGCCGTTCTTCCACCTTACTCTTGTGATCCCAGTGGCAGTGATCTGCCTCGAGGTAATGACACTTTTTTTGTGCTTGTACTGCTGCTGCTCTTTGGCACACTTCTGACTTGTGTTCTCCATGGAAACTTAACGGAATACGTGTAGTGAGAAGAAATGGCTCTTTGGAGCTTGTAGGGAGTGAGAAATAATGTTATGGATGCTTATGCTAAAAATGTTTTAGTTCCCAGTCCTGAATAGCAAGTTCATATCTGGCTGAAGTATGTGATTACTGCTGCTTTAGGCAGCATCCTAAAGAAAGGAGTACTAAGGGAGAGGTGCTTGCCCTATATCATACAGGTTCTTCATGGAGTAATAATTTTTCAGATATACATATTTTTTTTTCAGTTATTTATAAATTCTTGCTGTTGCGCTGTTCAGTGGGATATTGTGTTCTTTTCCTGTATGACTCCAGGATGTCATTCTGTGTCATCATAAACCGGGGATAAAGCGTAGGGTTATCTTGTTCCTTTGGTGCATACCCTTTTCCTGTCATGTCATCGGTTATGAGAATGTCTAAGCTATGTTTCAGCGCGTGCAAAGACAGACATAGTAGCTACCATCAGAGCAGCTCACAGACAGCTTTCAGCTTTATCATCTGAACGTGGACTTCATTCCAAAATGGTCATCTTTAGTCAGTTTGCTCTTACAATTTAAAAATATTTGTATACTGTGTGAGGTTGCATCAGACAGCCAAGCTTGGTAAGCAGTGCAACAGGCATATACATTTTTTTGTTATTAATTTATCCCCTTGTTCTGCTATGTTTATGGCTCACAAGGCATAAATAGAGCCTGTAATTCACAGAGCTTTGTTTAATGACCTGAAGATCAAGCTGTCTGCTGTCCTCATCTCAAGCTAAGTTCTTCTCAGACACAGGAATAACAGTACTGCTTGCTGTTCTGCTACCCAACTTGTTTTTGTCTAGGTGGGGAATGCTGAGAGGCCCAAGCATGCCACTGCAGACAAAACTATTCTGTGATGCAGTGTCTTAGTTTAGCTGGTAAGGATTGCTGGTTGCGTGTAGTTGTGGACGTCTGTGGCCAATATTCTACCCCATGCACGTCCCCTCAGTCTTTTGACAGTGAACTGCCTCAAACTGTGCTAAGGGTTAAAAACTTAGCAGGGCTGTAAAAGAAAACTTGGGTATTCAGCCTGCATGTCCTCTGATACCAAGGTTCCGTTTGTCCTAATGTGTAGTGCTCAGACTGGAGCAGAAATGCTCTGGATAGGAGTTGGAGTTCGGGTACGATTACCTGTGTTGCCATTGCATCACGTACAACAGCTTCAGCTATTTCTGCTGTTTCTTGCAGGCAGCACGGGGAGAAGCTATTTTTGGCAGTAGTGACGCCAAGCTAGGGATAAGCTGTAGCCTGCTCTGAAGAGCAGCAGTGCAAAACTGCTGGCTGTTTACAGTTTTGTGGTTCAAGTAGTGGGTTGCACATTGTCTGAGGTACATAAGCTTTTAAAATATCCCCCCATACACTGGACAGGTTGAAAGTCTGTGCATCATTGCTGGCTTACTCTACTAGCCATCTATAGATATAGCAGGTGGCATGATTTTACCAGACTTGGTACCTTTAGTTCAGGTTCCTCAATCTCCCATGCTGTCTGTTGGTGTAGAGAATAGCTTTTCATTTGGGGTAAAGAAAGAGCTGGCTGTGTATACGTAGGATCTGTGAAATCCAAGTGTTCCTTTTTGCACTGTTTCGGAAAGTGTAGTTTTGCTATACCTGACTTGGATCCCCCCCACCCCCCCAAAAAAAAAATCCTTGTAACTGACTGTATTTCAGGTATATGGCAGCTGTAGCTTTTATTATATCAAGGGAATGTAAACGTTTTTGCTTTTATTCCAAAATATATTACTTGAAGATGGAGCATAAAATGTTAATAATGAAAATAGTTTTCATGCTTGATTCAACATTTTTGCCATCTTAAGTGGCCCGGTTGTCCCTGTGCGGGACTTTCCTCAATGTACTAATCCTGGAGGGCTAATTTCAGATAAGATACAGAGCTACTCTTGATAACTACAGTTCAGGTAGCCATATCTGGTAGGCTGCAGAACAACTCTGGACTGAAATGCTGTGGATTCTTTCAGTTGCATTTACCATGTAACACGCTTGTCTTGTTGGAAGTTGATCTGGAAGAAGGCAGGTTCCAAAACAATGTGGCATGGCTGCTCACAGCTGTGCTGCTTTCACAGGTGCTGCTAACGTGCTCTCTTGCAGGTGCTCTCAATTCATGACTTTGTTAATCTTGAATATTCTGTTTTCCACTTTCCTGCTGCAGTAGCATCCCTCTAAGTGACACTACGCACATGTTGGAGTTAATGGTTTTCAGCTTTAGTTGAATGCCTTAAGGAGGCTTCCAGCACTTGGGAGAATTGGGTGTTAAGTGTACTGACAAGGATCTGGAGTGGATGTGGATTAATAGCCTCTTCAGACCCTGCCTGTACCTCTTCAGCTGAGTCACTCCACATAATATTGACTGTGTCCTTGGCGTGGATTGTAGAAATTTTTTTAATGATTTTAAGGTTGGGAGTTAATAAGGACTTGCATGGAGCATTTATGTTCTCACACTACTGTAATATAATCTGTACGGGCTTTAAATTAGGAAATCCAGAAGCTTTGGAGTAGTGCAGGGTAAAGTATGTGGGTACACTTGACCTGGAGTTCTGTGCGCTTTGCTGAAGATACTTCCAGGCCTGGTGTTTGGGCTGCTATAGATCATGAGTGTGACTTGTCAACAGGCTGAAGTCCTGGACCTGGGAGGAAAACCAGCCATGTGCCTTAGTACTACTCGGTGCATCTGTGTTTGTTCTGATCTTCAGAGTCTCCTGGATCTTTTTTAATGGAGCTTAGGGCTTGTGGAACGTGTTTATTAACATGGAGACCTTGGGTGTCCTACCCTTGCCTGCTCCCTTGTGTTTGAAGGAGCTGTTGGTAAAAGACCGCTCGATATTGCTGTGTTCCAGAGACTGCAGTGGTGCTCAGGATTGACCAGAGCTTCCCATCAGCACAGTAAAAGTTTTATCAGGATTTTTGTCCTGATGTATTGTAAGACGAGATTTTTATCAGTAGTTGACATGATCTTTAACCACCCTGACAGGAAAATATAACTTCTTCTGGCTTAGCTATTGCTTCTTAAGGT